GTGTATGGCGCCAGCGCCCTCTGCACCGCCTCAATCACATCCGTCACGTCCGCCGCACGCCCCGCCTCCCTCTCTACCCTCTGAATCTCCTGTTCGACGCTCCCCAGCCCCCGCGCCACCGTCCCCGCCACCGCCTCGAGCGCGCTCTGCACCGCGCCGCCCAGCTCCGACCCCGCGCGCGCCGCCGCGCGCCGCGCAGCCGCCTCGGCCGCGCCGCTCGCGACGGCGGCGCGCTGCGCGCGGACGCCCAACGCGACCTGCGCGGAGGCATCGGCGATGACGGGTCCGAGGGACGCGAGAACGGCCGAGGTTATTTGTTGCGCGACCTGGGTGGCGGCGCCGGCCGGGTCCTGGGCCACGCGGGCCGCGGCGGGGCCGGCGGCCTGCAGCAAGGACGCGACGCCGGGCGGCACTGCGGGAGGCAGGACAGGGGACGGGGGAAGGGGTATAACAATGAGTTGGGGTAGGTTGTCAGGGGGGAGACGGAAAGCGAGGGTGTAAAAATGGGTCGTGGGGGTGTGGACAGGGTCGGTGAAGGTTTGCGCGAACGCCCCTTCCATCGCGGTTTCTCTCGCAGCAGCCTTCAGGGCCAAAGGGATCTGCAAACCCACGCTACCCGGCAGCAACACGAGTGCACCCTGCAGTCACGGGGGGCGAGCGGATCAAGAAGAAAACACCCACCGTCGGCGTCCTGCGCAGCGGCGGCCAGCGCGTACACCAGGCCGTCCGGCCGCCCCTCCACCGCGCCCGCTGCAGCGGACAGCCCGCGCGCGAGGCTCGACGCCATCGCGCCTGCCGCCGTCAGCTGGGCGCCCGCCCAGCGTAGCTGCTCCTATTGGGTGTGGGTGGGCGGGTGGGTGCGGCCCACGTGAGGGTGGCAAGGCGTGCAAGTCGGCACCTTGGGGAAGGCAGCATAGACCTAGTGGCCGACAAAACAAGCAGCAAGCCGACTGTGCTGCGAGGCCCCAGGCGGCGAGGTGAACAGCAAGGAGCAGAGCCGGCCCCGCAAGCCGGGGCCGACGACGGCCGACGCCGTTCTGCGACGCGCACGCACCGCCGCGGGGGCGCCACCCTGAGCGACGGCCGCCAGGCGGGGCGCCAGGCTGGTGGCCAGGAAGTCCGCGGCGCGCCGCAGGAGGGCCAGCAGCGCCGACACCAGCAGATCAGTGTGGGGGTAGGCTGGTGGGGGGGAGTTTCGGGAGGGGAGGGGGGTGCATGGGCTACGTCAGGGCATCACCAGTTCAGCCTTGCGTGTGTCTGTCTGGATCCTAGGTTACGGCCATGTAACAGCCGAACGGCTGCACAGGTGATGATGCTCGGCATTCATGCGGATGACACGCGCAGGCTGCAGCGAATGCAGAGAGCACACCGAGACAGGTGAAGTGGGGCGAGCACACAGCCACGAGCAGAGTGCTAGAAGGGGTCAGACAGCTCCAATAATTGCGTTGACATCAGGGTGTGTGTCAGGAAAAGTTGTTGCGGTTCGAAGTCTTTCATCAGTCCCCCAATCGTGCACAATATCACAGGCAGCAGCAGCGCCTCTGGCCTCAAAGCGCGCAGGGACGCACCTCGCGGCGCCGCCTGGCCCGGCGTCGCGTCCGCCGCAGGCCGCGCGCGCAGCCGCTCCACCGCCGCTGGCGCGGCGCGCTCCTCCCCCTCAAGCACGCGCAACACGGCTGCTGTCAGCGCCTCCTGGTGCTCGCGCCAGCGCGCCGGGTCCGCCAGCTGCGCGGCAGCTGCCGCGGGGCCGAGCGCGGGCGTGGGGGGCGGCGTGGCTGCGGCTGGGGGGCCGGTCTGCTGCAGCCCTTGCTGCAGGCGATGCAGCATGTCGTCGATGGCAGCAAGCAGCGGCCGCGCGGCGGGGGCCTGCTGCTGCTGCTGCTGCTGCTGCTGCTGCTGCTGCTGCTGCGGTTGTGCTGCCGCTGGAGGAGCTTGCTGCTGCGGTGCCGCCTGGGGTGCCGGCGGCTGCGCGGCGCCGGGCAGGGCGCCGCCGGTTAGCATGCCCATCATGGCGCGTATGAGGGCGCCAGCCTGGAGATGGCAAAGGGGGGTCAGGAGGTCGGATGTTTGCGAGGCCGCGGCACATGACGCGGAAAAGGCGGCAGTAGCCTGCCATGGTGCATCCCTCGGCTGCTTTGCGACCCAAAGCAAGCAAGGGCTGCTAGGGTAGGACAGCCGCCAACGATGGAGGCCGACTCTGCACACATCGCAGGGCGCGAGTGTCAGTGCTTGCACGGCCGGGGATGCTGACCCACCGGGTCGACGGGTGGTCCGCCAGTAGTTGCTGCTGCCTCCTGACGCGGGGCCGCGCCCGTTGCCAAGCCGCTGCTCTCCACAACGTGCACGGCGTCACCAGGGCCAATCCCTTTTCGAAAGCAAGATAGAGCGAGGTGGGGTGTACACACTTTCCGTCGCAACTGCAGCAGATTCATGCAAAGAGACAGCACAGCACTGCCACTCTTGCATTCATGCATGCAGACATATCCAGGGTGGGGGTGATGCGGCTGAGCTCACCCAGCTCCCCCATCGTAGAGTCATCAGATAACACACGGCCGCGCCAAATGAGCCTTTGACGGTAGGCTGGCGTGCCCACGATCGTGCCTATGACATTCTTGAGTCCTGCAACGCTGGTTGTACTGGTGACGGACACGCTATACTCAGCAGGCACCAACGTTTTGACTCTGATGGAGTACGCGCCCGATGCATCCTCCATATTGCAGTGATCTTGTTCAGATCGCGTGAACGAGCTTGCTCGCAAGACAGGTTGATGTAGTTCATTCGAGATTGGGCAAGGCGTTCTCCTCACATTGTGCAAGCTCTCACGTAGCCATCAGGAGGAAATGTGCTGGGTGACCTCACCGCTGCCAGGGTGCCCCGGAGCTATAACCTCTCATAGCCGATTCCTTCGCATTGTTCGACTCGCGTGAACTCGTCTACACCAATGCTTTGTTAAGTCGCAACAGATCGGCATCACGACGACAGCAACGGTTGCCATCGCCACTGGGGTTTGCCATTTTCACTTGACCGGCGCGTCCTCCAGATGTTTGTATGGGAGGGAGCTGTTCCGCGGGAGCTGCCTCAGCCGATCCAGTGGCTGCTGTATAGCCTGCCGGGTGCTCGCTCCCTGCAGCCCGATGAGCAAGAGGCGAGCGCGTCAAGCACCGCCTGCAGCGGCCATACCCATGGCCGTGGCCATATCCATGGCGCACGGCGGTTGAAGCGGGCGCTGAGGAGCGCGCAGGTGGATGGGGCGGCGTACTGGCGGGCCCACGTGCTGGGCACCGCTGGCGCCCTTGTTCAGGTGGGTTGGGGCTGCGGCACGTTTTCGTGCCGCAGGATTGGCACAGCGAGGCTGCCTTTGCTGATAGATCTCTCCAATGCCTAAATAAGGACAGCGCAGCAGCTGTGGGTTTCAGCGGTGGTCTGTTGGGAAGCAAGGGCGGTCGTGAATTCGGCAGCGCGCCAGGGCCGCGCTGGGCATGCTGAGCTCCCTCACGATGCACAGCTCGCTGCCTGCACATGCGAAGCACGAATACACACACGCACGCATGCATGCACGGCGGCACCTGCAAGGAGGGTGTGCATGCATGGCTCGCGCCGTGTGAGCGGCGCTTTGCATGCGAGCACAAGCCATCAGCTTCAGGCCAAGACGTGCCGACATGTGTTGGCACCGTCGCCCGCCAACGACCCCTGATTGTATTGGTTGCCGCTCGCCCCTGACAAACCGACCGGCCTCGTCATGCGAATTGCGCCGCCCCTCCTGGACCGCCCCGCAGTATGGCGGCATGGCGTCCGCCGTCGCGTCATCCGCCATGTCCCCCCAGGGGCCCGGCGGCTGCGACCACAACGGCCGCGAGCGCGCGGCGAACCTCATCACGTCCCTGCCCTTCGCGTGGACAGGCATCCACGGCATTCGGTGAGACACCTCTAGGGCAGCGGCTGAGCGCCCACCCTCCACCGCTGGCCAGCCTCATCCGGAGTCCATGTCCGCCTGCCTGCCTCTTTTCAACCAATACGGCATGCCGCGCCTGCACTCCCCACACTCACGCACTGCCTCCTCTCACTCCCCCTGCCTGCCGCGCCGCCGCGCCCCCCCCCTTCTCCTTACAGCAAACGCACAACCCGTCAGGGCAAAGCGTGGGCGGCCAGCATGCTTGGCGTGTGTGGCGGCAGCCTCGCATTCCACGGCAGCAAGGGGCGGTGGCGGTCTTTGGGGCGAAAACTGGACTACTGGATGATCGCGGCATCAAGCTGTGAGCGATTGACGTGACGTCTGTTTGAGCAGCGTTTTTTGATTTTGAGGGTGCACAGCCGATGCTGTGATGAGGGCCGCCTGTCGGCTGCTTTGCCCCTGTGCACGCCTGGCGGCCAGGTGCGTCGCCGCAGGGAGGGACATCGGCGCTGTCTGTCGTGGTTACAGCACTATCCCCTGCTGCTCTTCAGGTGCCTTCTGCTGCCCTCAGCGCCCGCTCGAAGCATTGCCGCGCAGCATGCTCTTGCCTCCCATTGCTGGATAGCTCAGCACTCACACCTTTAGGACCGTCCCCCCCCCTCCCCCCGCC